ACACACACACACACACACACACACACACACACACAAGAAAATTTGTAGCAGCTCTATTCATTTTAACCTCAAACTGGAAGCAACCCTAAAGTCCTGTAACAGGTGAATTACAGGTAAATTGATACACTGTGGCACTTTCACACGATAAAATATGAGTCAGCAATAAAAAGCAGTGAAGTGCTGTTGACACACACAGACCTTAGATGAATCTCAAAGGCTGAGCCGGAAGCCAGTCTTCAAAACTTCTCTCCCACAGCGAGCAGCGGAAGTCAACAGATGGTGCTGTCATTCTCTTTACAGGACAGTGATGGAGAGCAGGCCAGAGGTGACTGAGGACAGCGGTCAGGAGAGGACGTGACGACAGAGGAGCAGCTTGAAGATGTCTTGGACTGATGGCCCTGCTCTGCGTCCTAAGTGCCTTGGGGGGTGCACCCACCTACCACGTGTTAAGACTCAGACGTGTACACTGCGGGAGGGGGAAGCTCAATTTGACTGTGTTCATTTTAAAAATGGAATTTTAAAAGTACTCCAAAAATAACAGTCCCAGTCAGCTCCCGGTCCTGCTTTCCCCCGCACCCCTACCAAGGAAGGCTTCTGTGAGAGGAACCGGCCCACCCTGACTGAGGGACAGGGGCAGGTCTCCCGCACAGGGTTCTGGTAACTTCCAAGTCAGCACGGACACGTGCAGGGCTCACAGGACCTCCCACCTGGACAGCCGGGACCCGCCACACCAGGCTCTGCTTAGAACCACCCCCAGAGGCTCATCCACGTTGCCCAGAATTTTAACAACTCAGCTCAAAGTAGGAAGCAACTTGGGTCTTCAGCCAGCATCTCTTGAGACTTGCAAGAAGAGCCTTCAACCTGGGGAAGGCAGGGGCAGAGCTGGGAACGTTGAAATAGTAAGACACATTTCCCTTCAATAAGCACAGTGCAGAGCTCTAAGGCCAGGTTAGAATGTGATTCCTGCACAGGGCACCCACCGCACACGTGAGGCCCCTCTCCATCTCTCCCACACGGCAGTCCACACCAAGGGGCCCGTGTGGCCTGCCTCTGGCACAGGTGGGTGGAAACATCATTCTATGTGTAAAGCTCACTGTGGGAAAGTGACGATCAAGTCCAGGGGGCTCTCTATCCAGAAGTTCTGGGGAATGTGGATATCTAAGCAGCACAGGGCTTTCCCTTCCCCCTCACTCTCTTTACTCATCTTAGTGACCTTAAATATACTATTAAATAATATTTTCCAGATCAGTTTTATTTCCAGTTTCTGGAAAGCTGATACAATCCCGTTGTTCCCCACGTGAGCTGAAATCTCTGTTGTTATTTCCTCTTTGCTGGTGGAGCTGGCCTTTCTAGGGGAGTCCGTGCCTGTTGAACTGCTCCCGAGTCTGTGAAAAGTAGTTTTACATTTGCTTCCACCAGGTCCCCAGGACTGTCACTACTCGGGACAAGTGTCGTTATTTATTTCTCGGTTTGAAGTTCCCCCCACAGTGGTGTCAGCTGAGGTCACATCTCTCCTCTTTGGACAGTGCAGTTGGCCTCAGTTCCTCCACTGTGAGGTACTGGACAACAGGAGGCTTAGGCACGTTCGTCCTTCCCTGGGTCAGTCATGGCAAGATTATAGTTCTCCAGCTTAGAATAGCCAGACATTCACACTGGTCTTTGGAAAGACCTCCACCCACTCGCTATTGAGTTTTAGAAGGAGGTGATGGTATCTCTCCACTCCCTGGCCATAAAGCCAAGAATTGGGTTTGACCACTGTGGTGGACACAGCCAGCCCCTGCTTCCTCCTTTGCTAACTGTGGCTGGTTCCGGCAGCTTTGTGAAGCCTCAGGAATGAATCACAGTGGGCCTAGGAGAGTCTTGGCAACCAGGGCAAGCCACCTTGAACTCCCAGCTGTCCTGGGAGCCGACAGAGGCCACGTTCACCCAGCTCTAGCCAATGGTGAAAACAAGCCCGGGAAGGTTCTGGGGAAGATTTCCGCTTTCTGGGAGGCAGGAGGAGACTCATGAGAACACATCTTCCAGCATCTTGGCTATCACCTCTTTCTTGCTATCTTTGGTGAGTGATGCTCAGAGCTACAGCTAGCATCTTGCTATCACAGAAACCTATTTGAGAATCGCGGAAAGTCAAATTTAGCATCCTGGCTGTTGGAGATGCCTCTCCCGCTCCACAAGGGCCCAGACTTTTGTTGGGAGGGATCATTTAGAGTGCCTTTGTTATTTAAACAGAGTAGTCCTGTCTTCTGTTACTTTGGGAATGATACTGATCCAGAAACAGTTGCAGAAGGAGACACAGGAAGAGCTGCTCTTTTATTTGGCCCCTCCTCACAGGCTCCTCTAGGCGGGGGATCCAGCACATCGGCAAAATAAGTGTGCTGTCTGCAGGGTGCTCTGGGCAGGAAGGGGTCATGCCACTTAAGCCTCGCCCCCCTGCACCCTCTGAGGGCCTGCGGGTGTGGGGCAGCGCTGGCCTCCTTCCGCACTGAGTATGCACCAGGCACGCGCACCAGGCATGGGCTGCGGGGCAGCAAGCAGAGGTCCAGAGGTCTTTGGCTCAAGGAAGACGGCTGATCTCAGCAGTCCGGCTGCAGCAGGGTGGTAACAGGAAATTGGGGCCAAGAAATAGCATTTTGTCTTGGCTGACCCTCCGAGTGGCTCTGGTAGCTTAATTTTAAAATTTAAGACGAAAAGTGCCTTCACTTTAGAGAGACCAACATATTTCTTTGCAGCTGTTGACGTCCACCTACCTGGGAAGGACAGGAGCCCGTGACCTCTGGGTGGAGAAGTAACTCTGCAGCTGTCACAGGAGTCTTCGCCCTTCCCAGGGGCAGAGCCGCAGGGCCCGCAGGGCCAGTATAGCAGATGAGTCCCGTTACCGAGTGACCAGAGCGCAGCCTCCCGGCTGGCGGCCAGGGGCTTCTGCGCAGGGTGCATCGACCCTGCCAGGGGGACCCTCGGCCCGGAACAGCTGGC